TCTGGTTTATACTGTTCACCAATTTCTAGGGTGTAAATACTCCCATTATGTCCAATTTCAAGCTACCAACATGAGGTTACAGTCAGCAGAACAGGGAGAAAGTTTAGTTGTATCACTACCTATTTCTATGTATCCATTTCCTCTACTGCCCCCGACACTCCACCCCAGATGACTGATGGCAGTAACAGGGAAGGTCCAAAGTGGGGACCAGAAGTTAATACCAGGGCTGCAGCATGGGCAGGTTCCTGAGGGCAGAGGTAGCAAAACGGCTGCTCCTTCAGGAATATCCACTTCCAGGCTCTAGCCCTCCTTCATTTCAGCCTTACATCAAAGCTCATTGGAGCTCAGGATCTCAAAGGAATGTGAGCCAGAGATCTACAGATGCTCCAGTGATTCACCTGACACTGGCTGGACACTGCGAATGGTGCCAAGAGTAGAAGAAAATTTCCCTTATCCAGGACAGGACAAATGACCCAAGAACAGCACTGTCTCCATGGCACAAAATTCCACAGAACTGGGGCACCTGGCTCCTTGAACCCCAGTGTCTCTTTGTAGAGTCCTGCCTGTAAGAGGGCAGGGGGTTTGGAGTAATGTGTTGTTTGAATCCTGGGTCTTCTGTTACAGTAAAGTGACCCTGGACAAGTTACTTCTCTCCAACCCTCAGTTAACCTCCTCATCCCTGAAATGAGGACAGCCAAATACTACCGACTCTACAGAATGAGGGTGTAGGAGTTCTCAAGTAGGGACAACTTTGCTTCCCTGGGGATATTAAGCAGTGTCCCTAGACTTTCTTGAGACAGTCTTCCTGTAGTCTAGCACTTACCATGTAGACCAGGCTGGCCTCAATCTCACAGAGATACACCTGCCTCTACCTCCCAAGTGATAGAAGTAAAGTCATGTGCCCCCTTGCTTGCCTCCAGACTTTTTTTGTTGTTCGGTAAGGAAGAGTGCTATCATCTAGTGGACAGAGGTCAGGACTTTTAAACATCCAATATACAATGTCAAGGTTGACAATATTTAATAAGGTTATGCACACAAAACACTATGTCTGGCTTACACTTTTTGGTTTATTGGTTTGTCTAAGACAGGGTCTCGGGTAGCCCACGATGGCCTCAAACTCACTGATGATGACCTTGAACTCCTAATTCTCCTACTTCCACCTCTTAAATGCTGGGATTACAGACATAAACCATTATACCTAGCTGACTTATGCTCTTAAGCTCTTAAAAACCAGAAGCTGAATAAGTAAGAACAAGGTATAATGACACATACATATGAAATCCATTCTTTTGCATGCTATCCTTAAAAATTACTTAGGGCCAATAGGCCAGATGTGGTGGTACACACCTTTAATCCCAGCACTTGGGAGGCAGAGGCAGGCGGATCTCTGTGAGGTCGAGGCCAGCCTGGTCTACAGAGTGGTTCCAGGACAGCTGGGGCTACAGGGAGACCCTGTCTCAAAAAGACCAAAAAAAAAAAAAATTATTTAACAGCTCTCCAGGCTCAGGCCTACATCACAGTGACACAGCTAAATGCATCACGAAGGTCAAGACTGTAGGTAAATATGGGAGGTGATATGGATCCTCCCTCTGGAAAATGATGAGGAAAACTGACATCAGCCAGCACGCCAAGTATATTTGCTCCTTCTGTGCCAAGACCAAGATGAAGAGACAAGCTGTGGGCATCTGGCACTGTGATTCCTGCAAGAAAACAGTGGTTGGTGGAGACTGGACCTACAACACTGTGTCTGCTGTCATGATCAAGTCTGCTGACAGAAGACTAAAGGAACCAACAGGCCAGTAGAAGCACCACCATTTGGGACATCCCTAGCCTACAATAAATGGGTTAATTTATGTAACAATTAAAAAATTAACAAAAGAGAAATTGTAAACAAATAGAAAACAAAAGCTGAGCTGAGTATAGAGGCACATGCCTGTAATCCCAACACAGGGGACGCTCAATTCAAGCAGGAAGATCACAAGTTTGACTCTCACCTGGGCTAAAGAGCAAATTCCAGTCCAGCCTGTACTACATAAGACTTTATCTCAAAAAAAAAAAACCAAGGTCGGGGCTGGAGAGATGGCTCAGTGGTTAAGAGCAATGACTGCTTTTGCAGAGGACCCGGGTTCAATTCCCAGCACCCACATGGCAGCTATGAACAGAGATGGCTCAGCGGTTAAGAGCACTAACTGCTCTTGCAGAGGACCCGGGTTCGAGTCCCAGCACCCACATTGAACAGTCCTTAACTCCAGTTCCAGGGGAATCCAAAGCCCTCTTCTGACCTCCATAGCACTGCATGACACGGGTGCACTCACATACATGCAGGCAATACACTCATTCACATAAAATAAAAATAATAAAAAATATTTTTTAAAAAAAGCAAGGTCCATGGTAGAAAGCTTGCTTAGGATGTGCAAGTTCCTGAGTTTGATCCTCAGGAACTGCAAAACAGACAAAACAGGGCTGCTGTTCTTTTAGAACCCAAACCTGAAATAGATCGAACGTGAAAGCCCCTGAGCACTAAGAGCCCTAATACTGCTCCAGGTGTGAGTCACCCTGGAAATGTCAATTATTTTATTTATTTAAATGACTCAGGGCTAGAAGCCTGCTCAGACTGTCAGGACTTAGGCAAGGAGGAAATCATTTTGCCCTGAAGCTCTCCTAGAAGATGTGTAAGCATTTCAAGATTCAGACACCCCAATACTCACTTGGCAGGCTTCTCATTTCACTTCACACACTGTGAAGAGTAGCTGACACCAAGAAGAGTCTTCTCCCAGAGTCTCCTTACTAATGTGGTACAATAGTTTGTTCCTCTCCTACAAAGCTGACTTGAAATTCCTTCTGCAGAGCTTTGAAGTCAAGACAGTTCACTTCTCACTAATACACCCTAGTATCTGAGTGTAGGCTTAAAGAAGGATTATCTTGGAGTAGGTGAGCTGGGTAGGGAAATCAGGACCACAGAGGTGTCAAGCAAAGCTAGAGAAAACATAGGAACTCCTAAAGAAGGAAGGGTGAAAGAGGAAGGCAAAAGTAAGCCAGCACTGCAGGGAGTCTACAGAATCTGGGCCTGTGCCCATATCTTTCCTGAGAAGTGCTTTGCCCAGAGGCGAACAGGTGGTAGGAGGAAAAAGGCAGACACCCAAGACCTGAAACTAACCTGTATATCTAGCCCAGCTCCGTCTCTCCCTGAGTCACTGAAATGCAAAATCCCAGGGATGGAAGCTTTTTAGGAGCCCCTAGTCCAACACTTTCTCTCTCACCATTCTCAGCTGGTCACTGGCAGAGCCAGAATATGCCCCAGGCAATGACTTATAAAATCATGGGCTCTTGTGGGAGTCACAATCAGAAAAGCTTCTAAGGACATGACATGGTTAGGAGCAGACAACAGGGGCTGGGGCTATAAATAACTGATTGCTTTGGCTAGGCAGAAAGCCTAAGACATTCAAATTCAAATTAAACAAACAAACAAAGTACTAAACCAGCCAAACAAAGCTTATATCTGGCTTGGAGGAGTGTATGAGGCTCCCAGGTGGTAGGTTGTTTTTGAGAGTCTGGCTATGTAGCCCACGCAGGCCTCAAACTTGTCATCCTCTAGCCTCGGCCTCCTGAATGCAGGCCAGGTTGTGGGTTTTCCACCAATGTCTAAATGGATGTTCTCTTGTGCCCAACAACAGATGTCTGCTTGGGCAGATCTCCAGCATCTAGGTCTGCAAAGTGATTACAAGCAGACAATGGCCTGGCCCTGTCTCAAACCTTTCCAGACAGGATACTCCTTATTTCTCAAGCCAGTCTTGAACAGGGCTGCCCACTCCCACCAGAGAACCAAGTCCCACATCTGCAGTTAAGTCCTGATGGAGTCCCAAGGAAAGGAACACATTTCATTTTGCAAACTTTAAAAAAATGTTTGTAATTACAAATATATGGGCAAGGTTAGAAAAGAAAAAATAGCTATATACTCCCCACACTCCCTCCCTTCTGCCTCCATTCAGAAGGAGTACTATACATATCTTTTTGTATTTTTTAAATTATTTTTATTATTATTAAAAATTATTATTTTTATTTCAGGTGTATTGCCTGTATGTGTGTAAGTGAGCCGGTGTCATGCAATGCCTGAGGAGGTCAGAAGAAGGTGTCAGACTCCCCTGCAACTGGAGTTACAGGTGTTGTTAGCTGCCATTTGAGTACTGGGAATCCATGCGGGTGCTGGGAATCGACCCCGGCTGCCTCTTCAAGAGCGGAAGGACTTTACACCACGCCATCTGCACGCTCCCAAGCTTTGTGGCCGGTGAACCCGGATACACACACACACCCCGCTGCCTCTTCAAGTGCGGAAGGACTTTACACCACGCCATCTGCACGCTCTCAGACCTATGTCCCAACACACGGCCTGTCCTATGTAGGCCCTAGGTTCTCCACGCCCCTCAAGGGCACTGTGACCTTATCCTTAGGTACTCTACAGCACCAAGCAAATACTCCATAAATGTTTCCAATCCTATCACTCTCGCCTAGCCCGAAGCAGCCTCGCCCTCGAGCAGAAAGGAAGTGTAACACCAGACTCTGAAAGCAGAGCGCCTCGCCGTTTCCAAGGTAACCGAAGTCGGGGCTGGGAATGCCCACGCATGCGCACCGTCGCAATTCCTTCCCGTAACCTCAAAAAGAATGTAACCCGTAAAAAAGAGTGCCAGAAAGCAAACGCGCATGTGTGGTCCGGCCGCCTCCGCCTTCTGCCCGCCGGTCCACCCAGCAGTCTCTGCTATAAATCTTGGCCGGAAACAGTACCCATTTCTGGAAAGACCTTCGCTAGCCAATCGCTGCTCGGAAGCGGGACGACGAGCAGGCCGGAACGAGACGTCTCATTGGTTAATTTGGAGGAATGGGCGGGATCAAGGGTCGCTGGGCGACCAAAGAAAGGAGGCGGGAAACTGGGCAAAGTCGCAGCCACGGGGGGAGGCGTGGCTTCAGGAGGCGTGGCCTGGGGACCTAGAGGCGGGGGCAGGGCGGGGCGACCAGGGGCCCGAGCGCAGCGGTTGGCGGCGGACGGCGGGAGATCGCTGGCCAGCGCGGCGCCACACTCGCTAGGTGGAGGAGATCGGCGCTCCGCCGGTAGGTGACTGGGCTGGACCGCGAGACCGCACGCCAGGCTCTGAGGGAGCGGCGGGATGGGTCGTCTCTCAAACCCGGGCCTGGCCGCGGCGGCATGGTTGGGTTCGGCGTCCGGGCGGCCGCGGTCTGCTCGGCTCGCACCCTCGCACGCGCCGCCAGCGCCACGCTCGCGACGCCGTGCTCTTCTCGAGCCTCCAGGCCGCGCACCCACGGGTCACACGCTCGCCAGGAACGCGCGCGGGGCCGTCTTGCTTCCCCAGCACCAGTGCCCTCAGCCGTCCCAGCGCCAAGCCCGGGGTCCGGGTGCCCCCCTCACTGCCACCTGCCCCGGCTGTGAAATGCCGCGGCTCTCCCTGTGGAGTGCTGGGCGTCACTGGTGATGGGAGAAGGAGCTGAGACTGTTCTGGGCACCCAGCGGGGCAGTAGTTAGTGTCCTCCCTCCTCGCCGGCACTGACCTGCCCTGTAATGCTGTGCTGTGCTCGGGACTTTTAACTGTTTAATTAGTCTCGTCTTGCAAACTCATCGTGGCTCTGGCAACTTGCAGCCACCGAGCACAGGCACCCAGTAGAAAGAAACCACTTGTCCCAGGCAAAGATTGCCACCTGTCTAGGAGCCTCATTGTTGCTCATTAATTTAAGAAAAAGTCTTTCCGAGTTTTGGTTAAAAACGTTGCTCTCGGCACTAAAGGATGGATGGGGTGTGTGGAAAGAGAAGTGGAGAAAAGATCAGGGTGTTAATGACAAAGTTGTTTTTGTTAAGTGGAGACAGTGAACACGAATGATTGTTTAAGAGCTCTAATTAAAATGATGAGCGGGCACCCAGATCACTCTCTAAAGTTTATTCAGTTGAATTGTTGAAAACCCTGTGACTGGAAGCCTGGTCTTTCTGACAGATTGGAGGATAGTGTCTTAACATTGGTGATGAGGTTTTTGCTTTGTTTCTGCTTGTCTGTAACGTTTTCCCTTTATCCCTCCGTGTAGTAAATGGCATAGTATTGTCCAGTTGATAGGTAACCTGAACCAGGTGTGGGGGATAGTGACCCATCTCTTTTGTCTGAGGCCTCACTGCTAGGACTGAGGATGGGTTTCCCAGATCCCTAAACCAGGAGACCACATAAGAGAACTCCAACCAGGAGGGGAAAGGGCTTGGCATGATATTTGTGCTCTTAGTGTAAGAGGATTTTTTAAAGGTGCTGGTCTACTTAAGATGTGTTTGAATTTTCTCTTGTTTTAAAAGTAATGTCTCAAAGTCAGTTCCTTTGGATCAATGTCTGAGTTTTTCAAATACCTTTAAGACAATCTGAGGCAGAAGGATTGCTGTGAGTTTGAGGCCAGCCAGCAAGACCCTGTCTCAGAAAACATACACACACACACACATCCTGATTTATTTGGAAGGGTGTGATAAAGTTCTCAGAAGCTCTCAAAGTAAAAGTGTCTGACGTTAATTTTAGAAGTACCCAGGTATACATACCCAGAAATATGTACCAGCAGTTTGTGAAATCAGACAGCAGTAAGCTGCCAGGGTTTAGGTCATCTTCTGATTGTTTCTGAGTATGAGAAGCAGTTCTGAAGGGGGGGGGTTGCCTCTGGTATCCGTTAGAGTTTGTGGGAGTGGCACGAGACAGAGACCCTGTCAAATGAACCTTCATGTATTAAACAAAAATGTCTGGTTGTGCTGTTTGCCTCAGCAGATAGAGGTTTGGTTCCTCATTTTGGTTCTCCAGATGAACACTGACTCCTTTGTGATCTGCTTGGAGTGTTTAGATATCATTCACTGCTAAGCATTCAGTGCTGAGGACAGGGCTCACCCTGATTGGTTGTCCAGCCCTAGGCATTGCTGTGAGTTTTTTGGGGAGTGGTAAGGGTTCATCCCTGGCTAGGGGCTAGGGGAGATCTGTAGGGGCATAAAGGAGATAAAAGCTGAATCCAGAGTTGTTTGTTTCGGCTTTTTGGCCCGCTCTTTAAAAATGTGTTATCACTTTGGCCTGTGAAATCACTTTGAGTTTCCTATTTTTTTCCTGTCTCTGGATAGCACGTGGAGTTTCCCAACTGGCCCTCCTACCCTGGGAAGAGCTGACTGGCTCATCCTGGTTGGTTTGACAGATGTTCTTTCTGGAGAGAAAGTAGAAAACTAAAAACCAAATTCAGTCTAAATAAAAAGCCAGCTTTGAACACATGAAAACAGCATATATTTCCACTGATGGCTTCCATCATCTCAAGGCTCTTTTTCTGGCAAAAGGTTAAAATGCAACTAAAATTCTGCTTTTGTGATTAATAAGTCACTACCGCAGTTGTGTCTGATGCTTCCTGTTTGCCCCATTTTAGTATTTCAGTTAAACTGGAGGCATCGAAGCACTCTGGGCACTTTTGATGGTACCAGTGTAAAGTGGGTGGGGAGAGGGACAGTTTGGAGAGTGGATTTAGGGAGCTCTGAGGCTAAGTCAGCCTTCTGTACTCCAGGATCCCGAATAAGGGAAAGGAATGGGTTGGGTGTCTTCACGGGTTAGGCTGAGCATTTGAAGTGTGAGCAAGGCCCACAGCTGTAGAGCAGAAAGGGAAGGCCAGATGGAGGGAGGTAGCACTGGAGAGTTTTTCCTCCGCTCCCAGCAGGATGCTGAGGTGCGGTCCTTCTGGACTCCTCTGATTGCCTGATGACAATACAAAGCCAGTTTTCCTCACAGCCCTGTGTATTCTTTTATTCTTGTTTAAATCAAAGCCCTCTTCCATTCTGCTGTTTGAGATCCTTTAATCTTTAGCTCCCTGATAGAAATCCTTTGGAATTATGTGCATAAGGAATCATTTTATAGCCAGTGTTTATATTTTCTTAGAGTACTTACATCAAGAAAGATGGGTAAAAATCTTAAAAATTAAGCCTAAATAAAATAACATTAGGAAACTGGCACCAGGGCCAGACTCTAAGCCCATTTTACTTAACATCTACTTCACTGATCCGTAATACCAAGTTGCTCAAGAAAGAGTAAGAATGTATCCCTCCCTCCAAAAGAGTCCATTTTGAACCTAATTAAACTACATAGGTAAACCAGTAGATAACTTTACCCATCTATTTATAGCAGTTATTAATTGATCTAAGTAATTGATAAGTAATTGATTGATATTAATAAAAGCCTATTGTCTGAACAAGTCTGCTTATGCTCATTTTCCAGATGTAGAAACTAAGGTGGAGAGTTGGGGGGTTGTCAAGTGATCTGTCCAGCCCAATAGAGCTGGTGCATGATGCCTCCACCTCCAGTGCAGTAGTGTATGTTGTCAGAGCCTGGTCTGCAGCTGTCTGCCTGTGTGCCCTCAAGCAGATCACTTTACTTCTGTCAGCATGGACTACCTCATCTGTAAATGGGATCTGAAATGTTTCAAGTAGAAGACATGAGAGGATTTGTGTGAGGGCTGAGCAAAGTGACCGCTATTGTTGGTGGTGGTCGCTGTCATAGTAGTGATAGCAGTAGCCATAGCTGCCAATTCCTACCTTGTGACCAGCCCTGTCCTATACAAGGTGATATCAAGCACAGTCAGATTGCCCGACAGGTCAGTCATTTTCTCAGTAGGACCTCTAAGAACTGTTTCTCTAGCCTAGTGGTATTAACTATCATATTCTCCTAGTCTTTAAAAAACTTTTTTTACATTTATTCATTGTGTATATGTGCATGTATGTATGCACACCACAGTACACATGTGGAGGTCAGAGGACAGTTTGTGGCAAGTAGTTCTCTCCTTCCACCCTGTGGGTTCCAGGGATTAAACTTAGATTATCAGGCTTGACTCTAAGCACCTTTACCTGTTGAGCCATCTTGCTAGCCCCAAATTCTCCCAGGCTTACTTTATATTCTGCCCCCACTACACTCCAGATAACCCTAAAAAGGCCCAGGCTCTGCCTAGTCAGAGTACACAGTCCTAAATAAGGGGTCTCTGCAAGGCTCCCAGGACTCTGCTCCAAACAGTAGGCTCCTCAGTATTAAGTGGGTCCCGGCATTAACTTGGGGTGTGAAAGAGAGTACTGTGTGGAAAATAAGCCAGTAAGGACTTGTTCTTTGTTTGAGGGGACTAGGAGGCAATGGGTGGTTCTTTGGAAGTATGGTTTCCATCAATACAAAGCATCCCACATTGTTTCCCTTTCTCCCTTAAAAGTCTGTCTTGTTGGCGGGGCATGGTAGTGCACGCCTTTAGCTGGGAGGCAGAAGCAGGTGGATCTCTATGAGTTCAAGGCTAGCCTGGTCTACATAGTGACTTCCAGGGCAACCCAGGCTACAGGGAGACCCTGTCTCAAAAAGACCAAAAAAAAAAAAAAAAAAAAAAATTCTGCCTTTTCAGGTTATCTCCATGACCAGATCTGGGAGCCTAGATCTATAGTCAAGGTCTTACAAATTGTGCTTCAAATTTCACAATGAGAAAAACAAAACAAACAAAAAAACCCAAGATTTTAAATTCCTCCCCCCTTTAATACAAAACAAAAATACTGGCTCCCACCATGCTGACATTCCTTTTAAATAACATTTTGTTTTCTCATGGGGAAGCTGTCCTGATAGCTGAACAGTCATTTCTAAAGCGAACCTAGTTTTCAGAAAAAATAAATCACCGGATGTCAAGCCTCGTGGGGAGCTCACTCAGATGAAAATGAAGGCGGCAGGTCTGGAGTGGTACTTGCCTTCAAGGCCAGAGGTGAGGGCAGAAGGACTGGCCCTCGCTCTGTCACTGGTTGGCCCCAAAGCCTGCATTTGATAGGTGCCTTAGTCATTTTCCAAGCAGCTTTGTTTAGGTGAGGGGAGCACTTTCTCTGGAAGGTGAGTCACTCATGCAGGGGTGTAGGTGACAGGCCATTTGTTCCCCAGCCCAGTTGTAGAGGAAGTCCTGAGCAGACCTTGTTGAGAAGATCACACTCATTCCAGCCCAAGGGCTACTAGAATTAGGGAGCAGGAAGCCAATGGGAGGCTCCTGAGGCTTGCTGACTGACAGACTACGCACTGGCCAGTCATATGGACAGGGTACAG